TGCTCAACCATGCTGCTGTGTTCTTTGGCACAGTGATGGGCACCACTTAGTTCACCATGTCAGGGAACCGGGTGCCACTCCAGTTTACGACTCCTTCTTCACCTCTCACATCCCTTCTGTCTTATCTCCTGCCATTCCAGCTTTTAAGTATTTCTTGGCACTGAGCCCACCAGACCCTGGCCACCTTGTGACTGAACTACTCCCCAAGTGTGTCCCTTCATGAATGTCTGAACACGTGGGACATTGTTCCCTCCAAAGCTGAGGCTGGACTTGCCTCTGAATTGTATATCCGTGAAATGGACAGCTTTGATTTATCATTTTAATGATTTTTTAAGGCTATATTGTTCAGTTCTATTTAAAAACAAGAGTAATAATAATCCATGTATTATTATTTTCAAAGCTGACAAAACACTTGCATATTCATGATATTATGTGATTCTTGAATAAGTTGGAAAGGAAGCTGCTGCATTTGTATTTCTTTAGATGAGGAGAGAGAGATTTGCTCAAATTCACCATCTTTGGAGCCATATCAAACTCAAGGACCCTGGCTCTGTGTCTGTCTTCCTTCCTTCCTTCCTTCCTTCCTTCCATCCTTTCATCCTTTTTCTCTCCCTCTTTCCTTTGATTCCTCCTCCCAAAGCACTATCGTCCCTTGAATGCGAGAAATCTACCAGGTAATACTTTATATGTCATGAGTTCCCGCTATGAAGATCAGTATTAAAAAAATGACAGCAACTTATTATTTATGGCACTATCTATTGCTACAAAGGGAGAGAGACCAAACAATTCCCATTGTTACAGATGCTACTTTGACTTGACAGCTGGGGAAGTCTGATAGGCAGTTTATTTACTTAGCCATTTAACCAAATAAATGTTTTCATTTTTCTTTCATCTCCTCAAAAGCTAACATTTTGCCCTTAAAATTGCTCCAGCAACACATCAGTGAAGTATAAACTACCTGCCATTCCCTCACCAGCCATTATAATATTACTTTGGTTCTTTTTTGCTCCTGTTGACTCAGTCTTTCCAAGACACATGATTTTCCCAATAGGAAGGTGGAGGCACGGGGAGGGAAATAATTGAAGATATTTTCCTTTATTGCTAAAACAGAAATGTTTGCAACTGGCCCCAAAGCTTCCACCTGCAGGGACTGAGTCTGCCTGTTTTCTCTTACTTTGGTGTGATAGGGTTTAACTTATCAACAGATGCCATCCCTGCTTACTCAGAACTGTGTGGCTATTTCTAATAAAAAACAGCTGGAGATAATGGTTGCAAGGGTGATAAGAAGGATGGGACTCTTGCTTCCCTACTATATGAAAGTTCAGGAGAAAATAAAGCCACAGACATAACCATCACTGCATGGGATCCCCTTTCCAAATGTCCAGAAAGGCACCATGCAATTGCTGTCAGTACATCAGTACATTTCTAGTTGGGTGGATGGGTGATGGGGGACAGAGACAAAAAGATCTCATGTGGCCTGTGTTGTTGTTGATGGAAGGACCTAGAAAGGCTCATTCAGGCTTTCCCAGTGGGGATTATAGAGGATCTGTCTGCAAGGCTGGCACCAGCCCCTTGGCACACAATTTGTGATAGGGAACTGTGAAATGGCCAGGCTAAGCTTTCAAAGAGAGAAAATTGCTTCACCAAAGATTACAGTCTGGCTCTCTTCTGGAGCTGGAAAGGATTTATCATGAATCACATGTAAATCGAATACTGCTCATTTTTTTGGAAGTGGGAGGTGGCCTATGAGGCTCCAAACTGGGATCATTCTGATTATGGGACTAGGCAATCCAGAGAGCTACCGAGCAGACTTTTTCTTTTCTCTACCTCCACCCCAAAGCTGGTTTGAGACATATGGAAAATCAATTATGTGGACACAGTAGGTATCAAGTAAAACCTCCCAGATAATGGCATTATCCAACATAAGGGATAAGTGTATAAAATCTAAGGTAGCAAAGAAAATCAACATTTGTTGAGCACATGTGTAAAGTTATGGTGGATCATGATGGTGGATATGGTTGTGGTACTAGTGCTGATGACAGTGGTGGTGATGATAGTGGTGGTGGTGATGATAATGGTGGTGGTGGTACCAGTACTGATGATGGTAGTGATGATGTCAATGGTGATGGTGATAATGGTGGTTCTGGTGATGATGGTGGTGGTATTAGTACTGATGATGGTGGTGATGATGTCAATGATGGTGATGATGATGGTGGTGGTGGTGTTGGCGGCAGTGGTGGAGGTGGTGTGGAGGTGACAAGAGCCAAGCATCTCTGGGATGCTTTCTATGTGCAAGACACTGTACTTAGAATTCCATATATATGACTTCACTTACTTGGCGTGTAACTCTATGAAACAGACATGAATTTTATCCCTATTTTTTGATGAATAAAATAAGATTAGAGAATGATTATGAAATCTCAGAAGGATCCCATAAATAAGAAGTGTTGGAATCAGATTCTGAAATCAGACAACATTACCCCAGAACCTAGATAATTTGAGCATCCCATGTTGGTCTCCTTGCTAGAGACTTGACATGTGCTATCTCAGTTAACATCAGAGATAATATAAGCCTCTTCCAGTAAATGGAGAAACCAATACTCAAAAGAAATAATGGTTCTTGCCCAAGATTTCCCACCACAAATTGGCTGAGTTAGGATTTGAACTCAAGTTCCAAATGCAAAGCTCTTCCCGCTATTCCATGCTATGTCTTTTTGCAACTCAGCCATGGCCTGGGTGCTGGATGCAGCATCATTTGTGGGACAGACCAAAGCCCCATGAAACCATTCAGTTTGTAGGGTTGCCTCCAACTAAACAGGCTCGTGAAGATGAGGGCTTGATACATTGGTCTACAAATGGTGTTAGTCACCTTTGTTTTTAGAAGAACTTCAATTTTAGATGATGTTTGCTGTTATCCTGATGAATGGCTTGCTACCTCTAGTTCATTCATCAAAAATTTCAAGGCAAGGTTGAGCACATGAAGTACAACATATGAAAACCTCCTGGGCGGCTTGAAACATTGCAAGCAGCAATACTTGGTAGGGCTTAAAGTGCTTCACATTGTGCTGGTACCGGCTGTCTCTGAAGCTGAGCAGATGACTGCAGTTGGGCCGAAGCACAATGGTGGACAGCTGTACTGGGCACAGCATGGGCCAGGATGTGAAGAAGCACAGAGAGGCATAAGTTATTGGAGAAGCCAGTGAATGGGATCCTAGCAGGGAAAGGTGGTGGTCTGTTGTGGACTCAGCCTCTGGACACAGAAGGGGTGGCTCTGACTTGGTGGGGCCAGTGGCAGGTCAACAATGTGTGACCAGAAAGAAGTAGAGCTCAGGTCATTACCTCAAACACACGGGTGGGACACACCTGGTAAGGTGAAAGCTGAAGAGGTGACAGCTCAGCAAGTTTTCTGGTGGGCCCTGCCAAGAGGAACCCCTGTCCACTGTCACCTGCTCCCAGGTATGACCTCAGTTCCATACCACCTTTCTTTTTTTTTTTTTGGTACTGGGGATTGAACCCAGGGGTGCTTTAGAACTAAGCTACTTGCCCCCACCCCCCAAAAAATGTCCTTCTGGGCAGCCATCCTGAGAAGCCCTCCCATAATCCCCAACTTTTCTCTTTCCTAGAGCACCGACATGAAATTAATAAACCATCTCCTGAAATAGTTTTGCAAGAGTGAATCTGTAAACGAGCAGTAGGTGGTTCTACGTGTCATGATATATTGTGACGTGTATTGAACTGTTATAAGATGTGGCCAAATATACAGTATGTTAAGTTCTTTAATCATAAAACCTATCAACAAAATGTACTCTCAGAATACTATATTGGCTTTCAATAACTGTCTAAATAACCTATGTCTGGACAGAGAATGATCCTGAAGTAGCCTTAGACTCCATTGATGAGTGGGGAAAACTATTTAACATTTTAATGGCTCTGATCATGCCGTTCAGGACTTTTAAAAAGGAGCTCTTTGGATTTGGCCTCGTAGTCCTATATGTTTATGGAAAGCTAAGAAAGTGTCTGAAAATCGAACACATTTGTCAAGGAGTGACCTTAGAAATCACGTCTGGGTAACAAGGTGTACTTCTATCTCCCAAGGAGGTTCGCTCTATCAGCTCTTCTTTCTTTCGATCAAATCAGATGTATTGAAATTCAAGTGCCAAAAAGACACTTGTAGCAAATGTAAGTACACCTCTCTCAAAGCAGCTGCTGATGGGATCTGAAGTGATTCCGTGGCAAATCACATGCTACGACGACACAGGTGCAAAACGGCAGAGCCTCACAAGTGGCTTTGAATTTCACTGTCATATTGGAAGCGGGTACAGGGCCCTTTCTGGCTGGATGAAAAGGGGCTACCATGATCTCACATCTTTATCAATCTTATTTCAAGCCCTGCTTGGTTTTGCTTCGTAGTCTGGCTTCTCCGTGTGTATGACTGGTGACCTCTTTAGATCTGTGCCATATAGGCAAATGCAGTGACATTTGCTTAAAAGATTAAAACATCTGGAGCACAACTCACTGAGAAATTATCAGTGTGGGCAGAATGCGCCCATCTCAGAACTCTGGTGCTTTTAGAAACTAAATCCACATTATGTGGTGTTGACTGTGCCTCACTCTATCACCACCCACTCAGAATGTATCGTTGATAAAAATAACATGACCATGCCCTACTCCCCCCGGCGCCCCCCCTCCCGCCGCCCCAAGCTCTACCTCCTGGTATATGTCAAAGGTCATTCATCCATGAGGAAAAGCAAAGTGGAAAATAGAAACCAGGCAAGGAGAGATGGTGCAGACATAGGTAATGGAGCATGGGCAAGGAAAGATGGTACAGATACAGGTAATGGAGCACAGGCAAGGAGAGATGGTGCAGACATGGGAATACAGAGCAGGCAAGGGAAGAATGTACAAAGACTGGGGATAAGGCTGCAGAAACAAGAACAAGCAGAGCAGGAAGGAAAGCAGCTGGCTTAAGGGTAAAGAAGATCAAAAGGACAGATACCTACCCAGACCTGCGCTATCTAGCTACCGGCCTGTGGACTTATATTATCACCACGGGGCTCACCACTGGTTTCACCAAATGGATCACTGGTGGAGGAGGCCTGTGATCCATCAGGCTAGAACACAAGAAGATAACACTTTTTTTTTTTCTGTTTTCAACAACTGAAAATATAAAACAACTTGGCATATTTTCATGCAGCACACACAAGTGGTTATTCGCAAGGAGAGCAAAACTTTAGTTGGAGGATGCCACCCCACAAATGCAAGGGCTCTTATGACTTAAAAAAATAGGACAGCGTTCTGTGGCTGACTCATTTGAACATAAAACAAAGCCCCTTCAAGCCACCCTTTAGAACTTGAGTCTGAGCCAGCTTTCTCTTCCATGCAGGCATCCTTGTGCACCGTCCATTCCAGATAGGGAAGCTTCAATTTTAAGGGAAACCAAAAACAGAAACAACAAAACCAGTCACTTACAGCTTCTTGCTCTTCACTTTTGCTGGGACTTTCAAAGCCCTCTTCAAAGATATCATCTGTGGTCGGATCACTGGCGTGGGACGCAGATGATTTGGATGGAGAGCTCTGCCTAGGGGCTGGGGTTGGAGCTACACAGAGACCAGGCAAAAAAGAGGAAACATCATAAGTGTCTGGCTGCAACTAGAATATCCCACAGAAAGCTCAGGAATTTGCTTATATTTGAATCAAGTCACAGGATTCTTCTCCTCATCCCAAGCTAAATCAGTGGAACATTCGAATTCCTCCCGTACATGCTTATCTTGTCCTCTCACACACTTGATCTTAAGGAAGGAGCTGGTCCACCCTGATGGATAAGGTAGCGGTTCTCAAGGGATGGTTCCTAAACCAGCAGTGGGAGTAGCACCTGGGAATGTTAGGGATGCCAATCTTTGGACCCTCTCCTAGATCTACTGAATCAGAAACTGGTTTAGCAGCCCTTTCCAGGTGATTCTGATGCACATACAAGGGGGGATTGCTGGGCTGTGGCTTGCTTTTTCTTTTCTTTCATCAGAGGGCACATTCATTGAGTGCCTTTTCTGTGTCAGGCATTGTTAGAAACTATACAGACACTATTGCTGATCTTCACAGAGCCTCTCTGAGTTGGATGTTATCCCAGTTTTAAAGATATGGAAATTGGGGGCTGGGGGTTGTGGCTCAGTGGTGGAATGCTTGCTAGCATGTGTGAGGTGCTGGTTCAATCCTCAGCACCACGTGAAAATAAATAAATAAAATAAAGGTATTGTGTCCAACTACAACTAAAAAAATATTTTAAAAAAGATATGGAAAATGAAGTTTGCTGATTTGTTCATGGCAACTGGTAGGACCAATCTTTGATTCCTGGCATGGAGTAAATAGTCAATAAACACATGTTGAAGACAGAAGGTCTCAGGGATCTGGGAGAACAGATGTGACTGATGGCAACCTCACAGCTGGCACCTGATTCTGTAAGAAAGTGCAGTTTGTGCATGGACCTTCTCTCATTTCCCCTCCTCTCCTTTGTTCCAAGGTTTATAACAAATATGTACTGGAAATGACTCTGCTTTTAATAATTCCTAATTTGGCATAGAAAAGATCAGTCCTCCTGGCTTGGCCCTAAGTAAGGATGTGATATTGATTTAATAGCAGAATTTCAATGCCACTGATAAGACCATCTTGTTGTAGCATTCTAGAACTTAGAAAATCTGGCAGCTTACCAGACAGAGAGTGATTGTAAAACTCAGTGTGTACCTTTTACCCTGATGAACCTATCTTTAGAATAGTGATGCTATTTCAAACCCTTTATTATTCGTAATGTGCCAATGAGTCAAATGCTGTGCTGGGCACTTTCCATTTCCATTCTCTACAATACAGGCAACTGTAAGGTGCTGTTGTGTCTTTTCACCAACAAATGATAGAAACTACAGCCCAGAGAGGTGTGGTCACTTGCTCAGGGCTGACACAGCTGTGAAACAGTAGCCCGGGGATGTGACACAGCCATGTCTGATACTGTTTGTCCCAGCTGTGCCTTTCTGTTCCTGTTTGAGGTTCCCTTTTTGGTCCAACCAATCCTCTACTCCGTAACATTTTCAAGAGGACACCAAGGGAGATAAAGACCAGTTTGACTCATTTTCTTTAAAAACAAAATATTAAGTTGTTTCACTTGAAAGAAAGTCTGTTGTATTTCTTGAGATGATTTGGAAACAAACTAGCTGTAGTGGGTTTAAAGCCATAATGAAAACACCCTGATGGACAGTGGATATTTAGTAAACGTCAACTGAATTGAATTCTGAATTATGTTTGAAGTGGTTAATTGCTCACTAAAAGCCAAGAACTCAGGCTAAACTGCCAACTGTGACAGGTATATTGCTCAAGCTTACCCCATGAAATCAATGGGAGACATGACTAGTTTATGCAAGTATATCTTTTTTTTTTATTGGTTGTTCAAAACATTACAAAACTCTTGACATATCATATTTCATACATTATATCTTAATCTTTAGAAGGTTTTGCAGAATATATCTGTACTCTAAAATAGTGGTTCTTAATTTCGGCAATTAAAGAAGAGGGAAGGAATGAAGTGTACTTGTATTTTGTGCGAGTAGAGACTAAAATTGCTGCTAAAGTTTCTACAACATGCTGGACAGATCCTTAGGACAAAAAATAATTTGGCTCCAAATATCAATAGTACCAAGATTGCAAAATTCTGTTCTAAAACCCAACAATAGCTAAATTTGCCTTTATTTGGGTCATTTCACTCTCTACAACCTTTCCCAAATGCCTCCCATGTGCTAGGCACTGTGCTCACGTTATTAGAAGGGTAGAGACGATAAAGACATATTCCCTGTCCTCAAAAAACTTAAACTTCCCTCTTGTTTGTAGCTGGCATAAAGTCCTTTGAAAGAAAGACACTGGATTTTAAAAGATGCTTGCTCATTTATGCTAGCTGTTATTTCTTTAGCATTTCATTTTCTATTCATCATTCTTTGTTGTGGAAACCTTATGAGTTGGCAGAGATGCCCCCACCATGTGGAACCTGTGGCCTAAGAGCCAGCAGGTTGCTTACACACATTGAAAGCATTCATTTTCAGAACTGCATTCTGAGCCTGGCTGAAATGACACAATCTAATTGTATTAACATTAGGTGTTTTTTTTTTTTTTTTTTTTGACTATTCATGTATTGGCCATGCAGTGATCCATATCACTAGTGACAGTAATGAAAATGCCAAACTCACTGTACCATGAGCCTTTTCTTTCCCCTATCAACTGTCAAAGCACCGGCTGATTCACCAGAACACCTTCCCCGAAATTGTATCAAACAGGCATACGAGTGCCCTAGTGTATCTGGATTCTGATTTGGGCTACACAGTTGACTGTTTTTGAGAGGTCTGAAGGGGAGGAGAGGGCTGGGTAGAATCACCAAGCATGGGGCATATAAGGAAGACAGGTACTCATCAGAGCCTACCACCGAGTGGCCCAGAAGCCACATGCCTGTCCTAAGATGCAGCTTGTAGAGAAGCCAGCAGTAGGAACCTGTGCCAGGACCTTACATAGAGCCACTTAACAAATATGTAATCCTATTTCCAGTTCTGTGATGTTTATGTTTTAGTACATGTGCTAAATCCTTTCAATAACCCATAACCTTACACAGATGAGGAACATGAAGCTCATAGAAATACGATTACTACAATTCCTGGTCCCAAAGCACAAAACCAGTGAGGAATGAAGATGACCTCCACATCCCCCATCCAGAAGTTCCTACTCCACCATTTTTCTTCTCAGACTTCTGGAAGCTTTGAGCTTCTATCACAGCCATACAAGGCCTTACGGCAGCTAGACCTCACTTCAAATTTTCTCCTGATCTAAGTTTTCTATTCTGATCTTTAAACCTAATCCCTAAATATTAAAAAAATTTATATATATCATTCATTTTCATTCCTATAAGCCATACCAAAATTTGTGTGCCACAAGCTGGGTTGTACATAAATGAATGAATGAATGAATGAATGAGCAGACTATCAAAACGCTAAGAGGCAGAGTGACTTGGTGGAAAAATACCAGGCTTGTATTCAATTCTAGAACTTGGTCCATTATCTGCCAAACAAACCTAACAAAATTTGTCATCAGCGTGGTTATGAGTCCAAAAAATCAACCTAGAGCATAAGGAGAAGGTGTGCATGTATCTTTGATGTCTAGATCAGCAGCTGTTATGATCGCTAGTAGTGATATCACTAATCATCAACCCTGATTAATGCAGAGATGAGCCTCCTGACTCCAGAAGCCTCACTTCCCGAAACCAGGCATCACTGTCATTGGGTTTTATGTCCCAAGCAAAGGGCACTCACGTGAGTTGGTCGATGGTGTGGTAGAAGTCACAGGGGTCAAATTCAACTGGGAGATGTCAAAGTCATCACAGTCGTCTGTATCCTGTGCCACCCCGACTTTGTTGAAGTAACTGGAGAAGGCCTCTGAGGTACAGGTGAGGGAGGGCTGGTCGGGTTTGCGGGAGGGCACGGGTGGAGGCTGGACCATCTGGAAATCCTTAAACATTTCTTTCCCCATTTTCTGCCTGGGCTTGTCGGTCTGTGGACTTGACCTGGTGGAGTCACTCGTGCCTGGGACGGTTGCAAGGGGGGTGAGGGGACCCTGGAACATGGCAGCTGGCAAAGGCATAACAGTTTGTGTGGGCATGAAGGCGGCTGGCGGAAACTGCCCGGCCACAGCTGGCCAGGGCTGCTGAGTGGCAGGAAAGAGACCCGGCTGGCCCCATGCGATGGGCTGAGCCCCCGGCATCACCTGAGCGACTGGTGGCTGAGCACCCATGGCGATCTGCTGTTGGACGAGGGGCTGCTGGCCCCAGAAGGATGGGAGGACGGCGCCCATTGCAACATAACCTAGAAGGGCGAGAAAAGGAGAGTCGGTGTCCTGGAAAAGAAGACTTCGTGGATTTAAGTGATTGACAAATATATATCCATCACCAGCTGTGCCAGGCTGTGTGCTAGGGACCAGCGATACCAACACGAATAAGACAAGAGTCCCTGATCTCATGGAGCCTGCCTTTCAGAGAACTGGCCAGGAAGATGATTCCTAAGCAGAATCTAGAATGAGTGGGGGTGAGTCCTGCAGGTGCCTGGGGGATGATAATACATTGCATAGTTGTTAAAGTTTCCCAATCTCATAGCCTCAGGAACTGGTATCTCACAGAAGGGACAGAAGCCTGGAAAGCTGGGGTGCCAGAGTTTTGATCTGGCCTCTCCTTGGACATGCTGGACAATTTCTATTGCTGAAGTTAAGAGTCAGGCTCTTTGCAATAACAGGTTACTTTCTCTTCAGCACCAAGGCCATGTGCAAAGTGAAACCTTCAAGGCTTAGGGTAAAATTTAAGTGCCAATTCTCACCTATGTAACTTGGACAACATTTATATATATATATATCTCCTTATCTGTAAAGTGGGCACAAGATGCATGGGATGGCTTGAGCATTAATTGGGATGACATATTTCATGTGCAGAGTACTGCTCCTAACACCAAGACTGTATTCAGTAAATGGTAGCTATTACTATAGTTTGAATCAGAGACTATAAAGTACTTAGTACCCTGCTTGATATATAACTGACATGCAGTAGTAACTATGGGCATTATTTCTGTATTATCATCATTATTCCAATTTTAGAGAAATAAATTGAAGACTGGTGTCCATTTAGGGCCTCTCAAAATAAGCCCAGTGGTAATGGGCTGAGCACTGCAAAACTCTGGAGTATGTACTCAAATATATGACCATAAGAATTCTTCATTGTATCATTCTTATCAGCAGATATATATATATATAGTTTAACAGGAGCAGAGGTGACATTTATTATAATAGCAAGAGTAATAGCAATAATTTCTACTTATTAAATATCAGGAATGTGCTAGTATACTGTTTTACATCTTCACAAAATTCCTGCATGGCATATATTATTATTTCTATTCTAGAGATGAGGAAATTGGTGCTTAGAGAAGAAAAGCAACTTGTTTAAGGTCACATGGGTTGCATGAGGTAGGATCAGGATCTAAACTGAGGTTGTCTGTCCCCAGCCAGTTCTCTTTCCTTTGTGACACCCTGTTCCACCAGATGGCCAAGACCAATTTTCATCTTTCACAGTCCAAGAACCTGGCTACCATGGAATGTGTTAGCACACTACAGGCCCACAGGAAACTCCTGTGTGCTTCCAGTGATCCTCATGCTTCTCAGCGGGCATAATGGCCACCTGCCTGTATAGCTGAGTCTGGGAGACAATGGCCATCCAGGAAGAGCAGAGAGTAGAGAATCGAGGCTTGCTTGGGCTCTCAAAACAAGCATCTTCGTGGCTGCCAGAAGGAATTTGCAGGTACAGTACAGTGAGACCAGAACAGAAAGAGTAGCGGATGCAGGGTATCCTAGCAACATCCAGAAGGACAATGGGTGAGGGCAGTGGCACTGATCACATCATGGGCCATGTCTCTAATTCTGGGGAGCCCAGAGAAATGGTGTACAGGGGACCTCACTCCATAGGCCAGTCTCAGATCCACCTGCCCCTCAACTGATGGATATGGGATCCAGTTAATCTTCAAAGCCTGGGCATTTTCTGGCAAGGTATCTAATTTGCCCCACATGTTATGTGTCCCCTGAAAGAAGGTCTGAGGGAGGCACAGAAAACATGGGCTTCTTACTGATTAATCTAGCAATATTAAATGCCTTTGTGGAAAGAGACAGAGATGTCAACAAACAAAACAAGAGAATCTCCTTGTGGTACGGTCCAACTTCCCTGAGGAGGGGTGAAGAGGAATGGCTGATGGCATTTCAAACTTGACACTTGCTTACATTGCCTCATCTATTAGGCAATGATGCAGTAGCCTGAATCTACTAATTCTGCCAGCGCTACTGCCCCCTAGGGATGATTAGGGAAATTGGAGCGAGGGTTTTGGTTATAATGGTAACTGGAGAGGGTGGACCCTATTGGCATTTCAGGGCCTCCCAGCATTGACAGTAGACATTCTACAAGGTGTGGGAATAATGCACAAAACAAAGAATTTCTTCAAATCCTAATTATGATTATTTGAACCTAGAATTGACTTTGAATTACATGGAAATTCAATTTTTTTCCACAGTTTTAATGCACTTCATTTTCTAGGAATGTAACAAGTGTGTACATCGAGGAGAAACTGTTTTTTGTTTTATTTGTAACACTCAGGAGTTGTCTGCCATTTTGGAAAATAGCAGTCCCTGCTAGGAACCCTGCTCAGCATGTGTGCCAGTCTGCACTTGTAGCTATAGGTTTCAGAGGTGATACTATTTATAGGTATATGCATCTGATTATTTACTATATCTTATAAGCTCATGCCTATTTCCTTACAGTAATGCTTATTTTTAGTATACATTAGCTTTCTTCTATTTCTACTTTATGTTATCATTAGGATATTGTGTTGATTTTTGAAAACTTGTGTAGTTAAGTTACATTATTATCTATGAATTTAATTTCAAGTTATTAAAGGAGATGTTGCAAATATATTTTATAAAAAGAGGGTGCTGGGTCTCACAGGTTGAGACCAACCACAGAACTTTCAATGACCCTGACCTTGATGACCATGATTTTGGTGAATGGGTTGAGACTTCAGTTTCTACTTAGCCTATTTTTTTTTTTTTTTGCTTAGTTTTTATTCCATCCTTCTCATTGCCGATGTGGATCATTCTAAAATGCAAATACAGGTGTTCCTTGACTTATGATGTGGTTATACCCTAGTAAACCCAGAGTACACTGAAAATTTTATAAGTTGATGCTGCATTCAACCTGCCAAACATTGTAGCTTAGCAACACAGAACACTGTAGCAGGTACCCAGGATGGCAGGGCTGACCAGGAGGTATAGATCCCAACATCTGCCAAGTATCAGAGCAGAGTACTGTACTGTATATCATTGGCCCAGTACTATACTGTATATCATTGGCCCAAAATTCACAATAAAAGTACCTTTTCTAATGAGTGGGTATTGCTTTCACAGCATTGTAAAGTATAAAAACCTTAAGTCAAAACATTGTAATTTAGTTGTAAGTCAGGGACCATCTGCATGGTGCTCATCATCTTGATTGTAAGGCTCAGATGCCATGGCATGGCTAGGAGCCCTTGGTGGTCAGCCCCTCATATCTCTTCATCGCCATCTTCAATTCCTATCCTATTTGGCATCTTCTTTCCAGCAGTTGAAAACAACACCCCACCTGCCTTTGTCTGTCTGGTCCACCACCCAATTCCTCATGTGCCTAACCCTGACAGGCTCAGTTCCTGTCCCCTCTACTGGAAGCTTTTGCTGGCCCTGAGTGCATCTGGTCTTTCTCTGGGTTTCCACAGTTCTGTGTGGTCCCCTCTGCCATGACACTTGCCACCAGGTGTTGTACTTGCCTGGTTATTCTGTCTTCCCTCATGAGACAATTAACAACCACCTGCCAGCAGGAACCCTTTATTCTCTCTCCCCCTATGCCTAGTGCAGTTTTGGCTCAATCAGCAGCTCCATAAAGGCTCAACACCGGAGAAAGACCCAACATTAGGGTGAATGAGCTGTAAAGGAATCAATGTTTCGTAGCATTTTTCCAGGAGTACAGTAGAATTCTGGGATCCACAAGTGCTGTGATCCCTGTTGATTCTGTTGTTGGTGGTGGATTTGTTTTCTCCCTCCCATCCTTTCTTTTTTGTTTTACAAGGAGCTAACAGATGGGTTGTGCACACTTTTCTGGAGAGAGCTATTAGCATGTCTCTCTGGCTTCATGCCATCTGTTCCAGACCAAAGTATGATATTCAGAAGAGAAAAAGAGAGCACAGGGTAATCGGGGGCTGTGTTTGGGAGCTTGCAGGTATCACTTTTGTGTGTGTGTGGGGGTGTCCCTGCAGCCAGAGTTCTCCCCAGGCCTGGGAGCTAAGGCTCTCTGGCCACACTGTGTCAGGCATTCCTAAGGAGACACCTCTGCAGTAGGACTGTGGTAGCATCGGACTCAGGGAACAACTTGGAGCCACTGCGGCCACTTAACAACTTGTTAACCATTTACTCATTAATGTACAGCAGCAGAGGAAGGAGGTGCCAGGGAGCATCTGTTTATGCATGGAGTTCACATCAATCAGAGACCTCCTTGCTGGGAACGGAAAGGGAACACCTGCATCACTGCTCTGCAGGTAGGTTTTAAAGTGTTGAAAATTGCAATTTATAAACAGATGCTGGCTCCCGGGGACACCCACATTATTTGGAAAAAGGAAAAGAAAGTAGAATAATATATAAGAAACACACTGAAAACTAAGGAATCTCAATGTGTATATAGAATTTGTACGGTATGCCTCTTATGCACGTGATCTCGTTCAACTCATTCAGTTATCAAAAATATACTGACTGGGTGCTCGGCTCTATTTTAGTCTCTGGAAATCCTTGCCTCAGTGAAGCTTACACTTAGGGGAAGGTTAATCATTGCGAGAAGCTTCTAGGGTAGCTGTTACTGCTCTCTCTTTCCTTTGTAGGGAGGAATGGCAGCTCCTTGAGGAGAAAACTTGCCACAGTGTGTGAGCAGCAGAGCCAGGGCCCCAGGGAGCAGCGTTCAAATGTCTATTGAACACCTCCTTGTTAACACTGCCAGGCACTATTAGACATGTTTTACTATATGCACTCACTTGTGTGGTTCTCAGAACACCTCTACGAGGCAAAATTATGATCATACCCATTTTACAGGTAGGTTCCTTGAGGCTCAGAAGGGATACAGTCAACTGATTACACAGCTGGTGGGTGGCAGAGCCTGTTTTCATACAAGTACATTCTCCGCGGCACCCAGGCCGGAGGTGAAAGTACAGGGTAGACTAGGACATATTTTATAAGTCAGAATAATAATGACAACAATAATGACAAACACAGCACAGCAGCAGCAGTGGGTTTCACATTGTATCTACATGTCCCAGCGTTTTCAAGGTGCTTGATTTTGTTTTCTCCTTTAATTTTCATAATGTTCTTGCAAGGGAAGTATTACTTTTTCAATCCAGTTATCAAGATGAAGAAAGTCTGAATGTGATAGGTTGAGTAATTTGCCCAGGAAACTAGAGCTTATTTTTAAAAGTGGTTCAACTGGCATGGTGGGGTGCACCTTTAGCCTCAGGAGGTTGAAGCAGGAGGATCACCTGAGCCCAGGAGTTTAAGACCAGCCTGGGCAACATAGAAAGAACATGTCTGAACACAAAAGCAGTAATCGCCACAACCAAAAAGGCTGAGCCAGGATGGAAACTCTGCCCATCAGATTCAAAGACACTCCGTGGGCATCTCATCCAGTGCATGATGTAGCCCCATTGTGGTCCCATCTCCCCATCACTGCCTCAACAACCAGTGATAGGTAGATGGAAATGTAAAACCTATAGAGGTTTTTAAGACCAGTTAAAGGAGGAAAAGGGGCAACAGTTTAATACCCACTGAAGCATATCATATGCATATCTTAAGTAGAATAAGAAAGCAAAAATATGGTAGTAGAAATCAGTTTTAAACTCATGTTCTAAAAATTGAAATCTTGGATATAATTGATCGATTTTTTTAAATAACTGGAAGCAGTAGCTTTTCCACCATTTGCAGTGTGGCTGGCTAAGTAGTGAGACTAAAACTGTTAATCTGGATTAGGCTGGGGAGACGTCACAAAGGAGACAGGTACCCAAACAGGTCTTCAGAGTGCTTTAAATAGAACACTAACACTGAAATAGACCTGAAATGCATTTAGTGCCATCTTATCATTTATAGAAGGGACTGGAGAGTAGGAAGGCCCCAGTAGGTCCTGGGTCTGGGAAATCCTTAATTCTGATGTGTGATTCCCACCTTGTCCCTTCCTGCCTCCTGCACAGCTGCCATCTCACCTGTGCAGGAGCCCCTCCTGACCATAAGCTCCTTGGCTGGGTCTCTAGGGTCCCCATACCTTGCTCTGTGTTTGGTTCTATCCATATCCCTTATCATTTTCTAACATATTACATAAGTGACTCATTTTATGTCATTGCTTATCTCTGCATAGGAGGCAAGGGCTCCACCTGTTGTGTTCACCAACACACCCCAGGCAACTGGAACAGGAGCTGGCACTGAGCAGGCACTCAGAAAATTTTTGTGGAAGGACCATGCCTGAAGATTAGTAAGCATGAGAGCTTGAGTTCCTAGAGTTCCCATCATATGTCCCAGCATCTTTATAAGAAAAAAAAAAAAAGCAAAACATGGGGGGTTCTGAAGAGCAGGCTTAAGCATAGAAGCACGGACATTTATGATAGAAGGTGTTATTCTCATTTTAAATGATATTTCTATTGCACTATTCCCAAGGAGATTTTAATAGTCATTTTAGAACAGGAAAATGAGCCACCACCACCATCCTGTTTCAGGGATGTGTAAAAAGAAATTCAACTGGGAAACTTGGCAATGAATACTTTCCTCAGCTACCTGCAGATTCTAAACTGTAAGTCATAGCATCATCCTCAGCCTCTGCTGCTTCTGAAGGCTCATCATGATCTCTGAGCTCATGAGGAATAACTGTGTTTCAGAACAGAGTATGAATTTTTGTTTCCAATAAAAGCAAGGTTTATATTTGGTGGCAAGAATTTGCTTCTAACACTATGTAATTAAAAGTAATTATTTATAGAAAAAAGTACAAGAAGATTTGTATTCTAAAATATTCAAACTCTCATCTGTCATTTATAAGAATAAAGTCAAGAAAGAAAGATAATGACACAGATTTCAATATGCAGTTAAAGGAAAACACAGAGCCCTTCCAGGCTTCCATGTTTGTTTAAAAAAAAAAAGAACAAATCCACCTTTGCTATTTCTAAGAAGAGTGGTCTGGCTGCCTGGAGTGTCTGTTGCCAGGGAAATTGTTCCTAGGGCCACCCATTTGTAACCCACCTGTAATACTGTTACTGTAGATAGTTACCCTGTTTTGAAAGTAATATATATGTTTTAAAGAATATTTGGAAAACAGAAGAAATACTTTCTAAATCTGTGAGACCCATCACCTTCTCAATTCACTGTAGGCAGTTTGCTCTTCCCATAGGGGTCCCCTGCTACCCTCTATGGGGTACCATGCCTTCCTTGAATCAGCACCAAATAAGGCAGATCCCTTCCACCCCCAGGTGTCAGGAGTTGTATAGGGAGGTGGCTGCATCTCCTCTCCTGCTCACCACTGCCTCTTCCTCTGGCTTAAGTGGACAGAAGAAATGACCTGCATGAATGCACCTGCTATGTATGGATCATGTTCCCCAACACTGTCCACCTCAGTCACCTGGAGTCTTGAACCTTCCGGGTAAAAGACATCAGTGAATTTTAGCTAGCAGCATCCTGGAGCTTTGTATGGAACCTCTACCCATAGGACAGTTTCTCCATGGTACTGAGGAGCTGTGTGAGAGAGTGCATGGTGGTCCCACAGATGTTTTGGCATAATTTGGTGCTGATTCAGTCAACTCTTCCTCTCTTTCAATGGAAGGACAGCTAGCAGAGAGGGCTCACCTGAGGGTACAGCAGCAGTGCCGAAAGGTACAGAACCAAACACGTCTGCACTGGCCGGAAGTGTCTGGGATGAAGACGGGATGAAGGCATCACCTGGAGTTGCAGGAGTCTGTGGAACAGAGAGGCAGGGACACGTGAGCAGTCATCATGCACAGCAGGCAGCAGGGATGAGATGGGGTTGCTGCAGAAGTGAGCCCTAGTCTAGGCCACTTATGCAGTGATACAGACTTTATCTATGGAATGGGAAAATGATACCTCAAGCTGTTGTGAGGATTCAATGAGATCATGCATTTGAAATATTGTTTCATAGGAAGTTATTTAGTACCACACATAGCCATCCAGGAGGTGCTCAAAAATGATAACCAGTGTCCTCACGACTTTGTTTGCACCTTACCTATTAGAGTGTGTTTTCAGACCACCAAGTTATCACACAATATCTGGCTTTCACCCTTCACAGGTCATCCATTAGAACTAAAACACCTGAAGACCTACTGTGGGCCCACCTCAGGGTCTGACACTTAATATGTGGTCCATTCACAGGTGTTGACAAAACGAAAATGAAATTTCAGCACACAGGCCCTTGTATTCTGGTGCCTCCAGAATCTTGCCTGAATTTTCATTTGTGAAGAAAGTAAATACTGTCAAGAACAAAACAAAGCAACTATGCCTGCCCAGCTGAAACTGCCCAGTGCCTGCCTGGCTCATGTCGGGATTCCAGAGAGGTCTACTGCAGGAACTGGTGGCAAGTCAGGAGTACTGAAATAGAAACGTCAGTTCTCATCATTTTTATGTGTCCATACCTATTTGCAGCAGGCTTTAGCCTATGGAGTATGAACCTGTTTGATGCCATATTATTTTTGTTGGGTGTTCCCCCACTTGGAGTAGACTGGGGCAAGCAAATAATCCTGAAACCATGGCAATTAGGCAAAGCCATTTTTATCCCAGCAGCTTGTAGGACGAATGACATTGTTCTGAGGACTATTAAACACCAATTAGGACTGCATTGGGGTTCAGGGCCAGAAGCACAGCCATGAGCTGCTGTGCTAAGCATTTTTAAGGATGGGCAGCACGGCTCTCCTCTGCCCACATGACCCTGTGTGAGTCACTTGTCCTCCCAGGGCCTCAGTTTGCACATCTGTACAACACAGGGGATAAAGTTAGAAGAGCTCTTCAGACCTTTCTAGTTCTGTTGCCTCATAGTTCTGCAACTCTGAGTTCCCAGGATGAAGCTGTTTTTCCCCAGAATGGAGGGGCTGAGAATCACTAGAGTCTCCCAGTCCAGCTTCCCTGGAGACAGGAGCTGCCCACCCCCCACCCCCGATGGTTGCTGTGGACATCAGGTGTAGGGAGCAAGGCAGCTGTGCTTAGGCTCCCTGGTGGCAGCTGTGGGCAGCAGGGTCTTATGCCATCTGTTCTCAGTGGTGAGGTTACAGCCCTTTCTCTGTGAGGCGCATCTCGCCAATGAACCGTAGCACCATCTCTGGGTTTGCACAACTGTGCAGTGCCAGAAGAACAGTCCCCTCCCAGCAGCTTCAGCCAGTGTAGCTGCGGCTGACTGCTCTCCACCCACCTCCGGGAATAGGCAGGGAGGGGCCCAGAGGCCATCTCCCTCTTTGCTCTGCAGGGGCTGCAGGGTTGCTTTTGAATGCACACAGCACAGGGTTTCTATTTTGCTTTGGTTTTAATTCTTTTTTCTTCTTTTCATTTTCAAATCAGGGCTCCCTGCAAATCTCTGTCTTCCTGAAAGCATTGGCTCAGATTCTCTGGCTGAAGCTCTGGCTTCTTGAGAAATTCAGAAAGCACAGGTCATGGACTGCAAGGCTACCTGGGCAGCAGCAGGTTAGGGAGGGAGGAAATACAACACAGGAGGGAAAGAAGGAGATGGAGATGGTTCCTTTCCTGCTGGCCACCTGTGCTGTGTGGGGCTCATGCCTGATCATGTTGAGTTTCTCCTTCGTGGTCCTATCCAGATAACATACTCCCTGTGGGCAAGACTCGTGTCTCTCCTCTCTGAATCCAGCACAAGAGCAAGCACCCAGGAAACATCCTTTAATTGCTAAATGTGTGGTCTCATTTATTTCTTAAAACAGAAGTGTGATATATGGAAAGCTATTCCCTTCTCTCTCTGTATCTCTCACTCTAATAGGAGAGAAAATTAAGTCTCCGTATTGCTGGTTAGCTTGCTTGAGTCACACAGATTTGAAATTCAGCAGGACCCCCTTTACCCAAGACTCATATTCTCCCCACTGTGTGACTGAGGAAAGAACAAAAAGGGTCGTGGGGCTCAGAGGGAGATGCATACTTACGGGGGGAGAGGTTATATCAGGAGGGGTGGACATGTCCCCAAAAAGTTCTAATTGGGTCACAGCCTGAAAAGACAAAAAAAAGATAACAGTGTAACCAGGAAAGCACACACTGCCCTGGTCTGCTTTAACAGTATAAGAAACCTCGCTCTCCTTGGTCCTGATTGTACGGATGGTAAGCCCAGTCAGTCAGTACTGGACCTTTTGATCCCCAAAGCAACACCTCAGATCACACCCATCATGCAGAGCAGGAGAACCAAGACTTGCTGCAGAGTATCTGGCTGTTTATCCAGCCTTGGTCAGTGTCACCCACTATTCACCTCCCATGGATTATAATCGTATCACTTCACAATTGTCCACCATCACATGCCAGCGCTGCCCCCTCTCCAGCAGATAAAGGTGGGCAGCGGTTCCATCGCTGGTTTTCCTGTCCTACACATACACAATGTCTTCCATGTGTAAGGACACCAGGGATGACCTCACGGTCACTTCTTAGTAAATGTTCCCAACAACACTAACCCTGACAGGTAGAAAGCATCATCCCCATTTTTGCTGATGAATAAATGGATTCTCACAGGGGTGACATCAAGGTCACAGGTCAAGTTTTGGCATTTTCTGCATCTAGAGCATGCAGCCAAATATGTAGTTCCTGAAAGAGTCTATCTCTGGGATAAAAAAAAAAAAACATAGTTGGAGGAAAAGAAAACATTTCATTCTAATACCAGGAAGGGCATCAAAACAGCATATACATCATCAATCACTACCAGAAACTTTGCTCCAGGAGACACTGTATCTATCATCTGTCCTCCTGCCCATCACACAGAAACACCCAAGCAAGGCTGGCCAGAGCAGCAGAAGAAACCCTTTAAGATACACGTAGAAATAGATCTGCATCTACTTCCAGCTTCAGAGATGGCAGAAAGCGTCTGGCCAAGAACCAAGTGGCCTGACTTAATTAAAAGAAGGACATAATCACATGCTTTGTGCAAATGTGTCCACTGAGGAAACACCACTTTCCACTCATCTTCAGATCTTAAGTGATAGCTTCTAATTGAGGAAAGCTAAAATCACCAGTAATAGATGGCACAGGGAGAGTCCAATGGCCCTGCCATCTAGGTCCCCTGCACGCAAATTATGCTCTACCAAGTCCTTGCTGGAGCTCTGGAGTTCACACAAAGAAAGAGATATTCTTTGTTCCTGACAAGTGAGCTCTGGACTCAGAAAAAGGTCCCATGTCTGGGGATATACTGCCATGGTATCTTTCCAACTTCTGCAGTATCTTAGAGCTACAACTCCCTACATGGAGGATAAAGATGATAAACTCCTCTCCATACTTACTGACAACAGTACAGGCTGAGCATAGGTAATCCGAACTTCCCCAATCCAAAATGCTCTAAAATACAAAACTTTCTGAGCACTGACATAGAGTCACAGGTGAAATATCCCACCCTTTACCCCATGTGATGGGCTGCGGTCAAAACACAGGGTCACAGAAGATACCGGATAAAATATTTTTAGGCTGTGTGTGTATAATGTTTATGAAACAAATGAATTCTCTGTTTAGACTTGAGTTCCATCCCTAAGATATTTCATTAAGCATGCCAATATTCCCAAATCAAGAACAATCCAAAATCGGCAACATACCCGGTGGCAGGCATATTCGTTAAGGGACTCAACTTCTAGCAGATGGACTTGCTTTGAAGTTTGGCTAAGCCTGATTCAAAAGGCACAGAAACTTTCTGCTGGAAGGGAAGAGGCTTAGCCTTCTTTGTTGAGTCATTTTCAATCCTTCTCCTTAGGCTTTTGGATTGAACAATAGAGCCTGGTACACAGGAGGGTCCCCTAAGTATTAATTTTCTTTTTAACCACACAGTGGGTTTTTTCCCCCTTTTCTATAGACATTAAACAAGAGATGGGTGCTAGGTGCTATGCGAGGTGCTGGGGGCATAATAAAGAGAAATGCCAACCAAGTCCCAAGCTCCTGGGAATTTATAGTCTGCTGGGGACAGTCATCTATAGATGCAGATCCTTTTAAGGGGGACTGGAAGGACTGACAACAGATTTCCAGGGCACATGGGAGCATGCAGAAGACTGAGCCCAGCTCGAGCAAATACATTTAGGAAGGGTTTTCAAAAGGGAAAGCCCAGAACTGAATCTCACAGGAAAAGAGCCACAAGCCAGGAAAGAAGGAAGAGGAGGGGGCTTCCCCAAGGAGCACGCAGGTGGCAGAGCAGCAGTTTGGTGTTCCCTGCATGAAGGTGGGGAGAGGAGGTTGGTGTGTGGACGGGGCAACGTGACGGTGGGACTTTGTGCATTTCGGTATTTCCTGCTGACTTTACTAACAGGATTCCCTCTCAGGGGGTAGCAGCCCAGCAGCTGATGGAATGAGGTGGCTGGCATGCTGGGTGCTCTCCCAAATCTGGAGGGAACCTTGGGGCTTTTCGTGGGTTAGCCTTCTTCAGCATGTTAGTAATATCTCATATGATTTGGTGAAACTGTGCCAGTTCTTTCATCTCCCTTCCAACGTCCTAAAAGGGCTAATTCTACCTGATGAATTTACATGTAGCTTCCAGGCTTCATTGCGATTGGAACTTGACGCTTTTAAAATGGCCCATAATGATTTTCAGTGTTTGGAAAATATTAAAATGAAGTTAATAATTAAGTCACATGATTTACATTTCAAGTGTGGCATACTTTTACTAACATCATAAATATAATTTATTGGCTAATTTTCTCCTTAAGCACAACTTTTAAAATAACCTTCCTCCTTGAGATATAGGCGCTCCTCTTGCCAGATGATTTTCATTCAAGGATTAAACGAGAAAAACATGGAGAGGCATAAAACATAGATTGTTATTTCGTTCCATTGGATTTGCTGTTTAAATAGAACCCTGAGTTAATTAAATTTTATAGAAAAAGGAGATTCTTGGGCTATAAAATTAAAAATAATCCAAATAACCATGTCTGATGCAGAACCTGGGATAATATCTATTTTCACAGCCCTCCTCCCCACATGAACCCCAGTCCTTGTATTTGTAACCTAATAAAAACCATGTTCCATCTGAAAATATTGTCCTAATTAATCATTTTTAAGGCCCCAAGAGAATAAAACTAACTGTTTACATTTGTAAAATGCTTTATGGCTTGCAAGACACTTTTTAGCACATTATCCTTTTGGACGCTCTCAGCCGTATGCAGTCGGCAGCACAGGACCATGGCCACTGCTGGCCCCAGGCAGCCTTGACAGAAGGTCAAGCACTACTAAACGACATACCCTCTGATCGGAGGCCAGGGTTCCTAAGAGATCTGCAATGATGGGCCTCCATTGAAGCATCTGGAGGGTCAATGCAAGGTCCTGCTCACCCCAGAGGAAGGCCTTTTCACCAAAGGCACCTCAGATATTATCCGGCAGAGAGATCTAGCTGTAGAGGGCAGACTTGGTCCCCTCTTTGGGCTGCTAGATATTTCCAGGTATATACAGAGGGACACTGGAAGCTGCCAAGGGCAGTGAAGGAAATGAGAAGGAGCTAGATGTTTAGGAGGTGCCCTTCGACATCTCTATGAGGTCTGTCCCTTTCCCAGACATTCTTTGATTTGAACAGGTGAGGATTCCCCAGAGTATCTGGAGCACTATGCAACTGCTGCTCAAGATTGCTCTCCCGATCCTTCTGTTGCAACTAGACCACTAGGACCTCCTGAGGAGAAATATGAAGGCACCACTGAATGTGACCCCCAAGACATTCGCATAGACCTGTTCCCTAGGTTTTGGCATCTGAAGCTCCATGAGACCCTTTAGGTAGCAAAGGTATGGGAGTTCCTGTCACGCATCAGCTACTGTGTGTGCGTCCAGAGTAAAGGACCAAGACCACAAGCCTTGCTTGAGGCCATGAGTTGGCTGTTTTATGGAAAGACAGACCTACAGACACAGTCAATGCAGTGCTGTGGAGGACAGAACCCAGGAGGCTGTGAAAGAAAAGGCTGTCCCAGGGCATTTGGACATGGCCTTCCTCCTTCCTAGAGCGCTCACCCATGCCTTCTCCCATTGTCTTTCCCCCCTGTCCATCTTCCAGAACACAAATTAGAAACATGATTTTTTTTCTGGGAAGTTGTTTCCTAACTCAATTTGTACCCCGCCCCATTGCGCAGAACAGCTTATCTGGCCCTCAGCGGTTCTCTGGCTTGGGTGACAGGGACATCACTTGGAGAAAAATTGCTGCTGCCTAGCCCCACCCTGGAGATACTGAATTAATTGGGGTGAGGAATAATCTAGTCAACAGAACACTGAAAGCTCTTCCAGTCGTTCTAAATTGCTGCCACGGTTGACAATCCTTGTATTAGAGGCTTCTGAACACCTGGTGTTCAGGAGCGATAATGCTCACTGGCCTGGCCTTCAACCAATCTGAGCAAACATTGGCTGCACGCCAGCCCATCTATACCAGGGCATGTACTTGGTGGAGAGTGGCCCTGCCTCTACTGAGTTTCTAAGAGTGTCCTGGGCAGGTCTTCCGTACGTATCTGAATTCCTAGGCTGCTAGGCTAGGATACACCAGGGAGGCTGCTCTACCCTGCCCTGCCCTGCACCACCCTATCCTAAACTGCCTTCTTTCCCCCTTCCCTATCCTCTACTCCCCTTCCCTGCCTCGCCCTGCCCTCTGCAATGATGTACCAAGTCACACCACGACATTCTTGAGCACAGCACTGTGTCTTCCTCTCTCTTTCCCTTTAACGTCTGTCAGAATGTCTGGGATGTAACAGGAGCTTCCAAAATTCATGGAATGAGAAGAAGAGGTGTCACCTCCTCTCCAAGGCACTATCCCCTTACAGGTGTGCACACATGTATATGCAAGCTCACTTTCTGACCTCATGCAGGCCCCGCCCACAGTCTTCCTGTGAAGATTAGACAGGTCCCGACTGGAGCCGTGGGGTGCAGAGCCCGCCGTTCGTGCAATTCAATATGAAATGCACGAGAATGACCACGGAGGGTCGGCAGGAGCCTCGGGGCCTTACCTTGGTTACCTCAAAAATCTCATCAAAGTCCACCGACGGGTGTCTGTTCTGTAACCACA